ATATATATTATTCTAATAGTTTATAATAATTAATATATTAAAAAATTTTAAGAGTATGTAATATTTGAGTACTTAAGAATTAAAAATTTTAAACACTGAAATCTTTATACAATTGACTTTAAAAATATTTGTATAGATATATTTAGATGATAAAATAGATTTTTAATTCATGAAAAAATTAATGACATTACTTTTACAATATATATTTTCTATCTTAGCTTTTTAAATATCGAACTTTTTGCATTAATGTTCCGATTAATAATAATTATTAGTATTACTTTTAAGTTGACAATTTATAGGAAACTTAATAATTTCGTCGATACAGTAATTATTTGCACTATTTTTATATATATATAATATAAATTATTTTATATATAATTATAATTTATAATAATTATATATAATATAACTTAATTTTATATATAAAAGATCAATAGCCTTTTAAATTAATTTTCTGAAATTTAATAGCGATATCTATTCTTATTCTTATCTAAAACTTTGATACGAAGGTTTTTAATTAATTTTTTTTTTCACTAACAGAAATGTGACTTTTTAAAAATATTATTAGTTTTCTTTTTTCTGCTATTTTACTTAATTCGTAACAATTGTGTAATATATATATAATTATTTTTTTTTTTTTAATGTAAAACGATTTAGCTCACATATTATCCAAATTGCTATTTACCATATATTTTTCGTTTACGTTAGCATACAGAAATTTCACCTTACGATAATGTTATCATTGGATAAATGTCCATTTTTTAATAATTTGCAAACACTTTAATGGTTTATCCGTGCTAAGAAGATTTGCTTTTTATATTTTAACAACTTATTAATCTAGCTTTTTGTTTACTTCTTATTTCTAAAAAAAGCTTCAGTCGCAAATTTCTTATGAATAAAATAACATATTTCGTTCAATTAATAAAACGATACTTTTACGTTCTTAAAAAAAGAAAAAAAAAAGTATAAATACCTTGCCAGCGTCCAATATACCACTATTTCATTTTATTAAATTTATATCAATGCATACTTCGATAATTACGCTAATGGTATATGTACCAATCGATATTTATTCTCTTATCTAAAATTTTATAATTTATTCCGAACGTAAATTGAACGAGTAAAATTGGAGTGCGCCGTCTTATTTATATCCGTTACCAATTTCAGACAGTCCTGATAAATTACTTATTACACGAATTCAATTGCAGGTAAAATTGAAATATATTTATATCGTTCGACGAAGCTCGGAAGCTTTGGAAGCTCTCGATTCTATTTAAATTTGATACGAATGATATTAATAATTTTCATTATAAAATGTCATTATATATATATATATATATACGTTTTTCTAAAAAGACGTTCGCAACACCGTATACAACAAAGCGTACTTATTGTTTTTGTTTTCACCTAGCAGCTGGTGATTGTGATTATTGCTCGGAAGATATAAACATTTTATTTCCATCGATGAATAAGCGCATGAGGACCGGCAGCGATGAACCTTTACGTCATCGCTCGCTGAGAATTAGCCAAATCGATAGAGATGCAACATTATATGATCTTACGGTCGAGGAATTAATGAAAGAGCGGTAAAAGCTATATTAGTTTATCACTCGGCGAAGATTTGCCGAGCATGCTTACACGGAGTCCACATTGGTTTTGAAATAAATAGGACGATTAAATAGAGCTCGCGTGGAGGAAGGCGAAGGAAGGGAAGGAGAAAAGCATCTATCGTTGGTAAATGCTCGACAGTAGCTTTCGAGAAAGTAAAGCGGAAAAATATTCCAAAAAATAAGGCCGAGTGGCGAGTCATGGCCCTTTGGACGAACCAGAACTAACATCAGCAAGAGGGCTTTGGAAGGAAAAGTAAGAGGGCAGCTTGGCGCTAAACGCCTAGAGAGTGTGCGCGCGAGCGTGTGCGCGCGTGTGCCTGTGTGCCTGTTTGCGTGTGAGTATGTGTGGCGGCAGCGGCGACGCGGTGACAGGGGAGAAGCACAGCATAACGCGACGGGGGCAAGGGAGGTGAGTTCGGACGTTGAGCTAGTGTGGGTGGTGGCGCGTCGTCCAGCTACTTTTATACAGCTCGGGAGGGAAATAATGGGATTCCCATCGTGAAGTGGATTTCCCCGGGGGTCGGCGGACGTCGATGGAAGCGTGTAAGCGCGCGTCCGGAGATCCGGCCCGGCTTTTGGCCCAAGAGTGCCTCGACGACTCAGCCCGAGTCCACCTGTCCGTACGGCGAGACCGTCGCCCTTACTACCATCGCAAAACCCGTCACAGTCGCCGATTAGTCCGTGGAATTGTTAACCGGACACCGGCTCGGGTGTCTCCAGGCAGATCGCGAGCCCTGACCCTTCATTTTCGAGCTCCTTTATTTCTTGCGAGCTGCACTTCTTATCGGCCGAGGAGGCAGGCGCACCTCGTAATTGCATGCAGCTGGAAAATTCGGCCTCCGCTGGCTTTCGAATTAAAATGAGCACCTGCCATTGCTATTGAATAATGACGTCAAAGTCATTTCCGACGAAGCAACTCGCGTTTAAATCTCTGTAGATTACGAGCGTTGGTCGAGCCATTCGGACCTGTGAAATCTTGCCGAGGATAAAACTTCATTTTAATTCCGAATCGGGCTTGGCTCGCACAGCCTTTCAATATGCTTTTTAATTTGTTTTCAAGATTTCGTGGTAAGAGTCGGGCCTCGATTAGTTAATAAAATGGAAAAATTGACGTTAACGTGCCAGATTAATTAATTAATTATGTTGCGCGCGACTTTCAAGTCATTATTAATATAATGCTCGTGTGTGTTTATGGTTTCGTTGTGTATAAAAGCTACCGTGGTTTTGCCATCCATGTCCTTTAATTAGACAAATATTGTGAAAATTATCTAGCGAAGGAATGATAATTACTCGGCATAATTATTTTGCCTTATTAATACGTATGTCGGTATTGATCGGCTGCATTTCTCCAGAATCTCTATCTGCTTTGATGCTTTTATGGTCACATTAATAAACAATAAGACAATGCATTATGAGAAGTACAAAAGTAATAACAAAAAAGTTTAAATAAATTTTATTTTTTATTCGATGATAATAATTCGTTTGCTTATCAATGGCGCTCATATATTAATTTGTCTGGATTAACGATGAGGAGAAATATTTATATAACATGCGACAATACCGCTAACGGCCGCCATTCGGACATACATAGGTTTCCTAACTAATCGCTTATCCTATTCTTATCCTATTCTATCAATAGGTTATTCTCGATTCATATAATCAAACACGTACATTAAGTGCTAATGTTGCGTACGATATTTATAACAATTTTAATAAATTAGGACTACATACGTCATTTAAAATTATTGTATCTTTAATACTTTAATGAAAGATGAGGAAGAACTAAATGCCTCGTCGATGAGTTTATTGCGACGTTGTTGGAAAAATTTATTCATCACGAATGCATATACATCGAAGTACGACTATGAATATCTAATTTTTGTTTAACAAAGGAAATTATTAGAGTAGTCAAGGACAACAAACGATAATATTATACAAGCAGAGCGTCTGTACTCGATAATCTAATTGAGGAATTAAAAGCATGAAAATATAAAATTGATATGTATAATCAGTGAATCCTAATAGTGAATGCAAGATTTAGGAAAAGTTCGCCTGCTGCATAGAAAGAATTATTTACTTTATGTAAATCCTCTAATAGCTACTTTTCCCTCAATTTTTGAAATCGTCTGTAATGTCTTTGAAATAATTGAATGTTATTAAAAGCCTTATGCAATTTCGCATCTTAATTCGCATAATCGCATAAAATACTTATAAATAATGCTAATAATTATATATGAAAATTTTTTAGGATTTTTGCCCATTGTTCATTAAATAATTCCAAAATACGTGTATACTCAATGTTTCCATTCTTGACTCGTAGTCAAGAATGTAAGTTGTGTTGTTGTTGTTGTTGTTATTCATATTTTAGGCGTTTGTATGGTTAGTGCATACAACGTTGATTGATTTCAACCTTTTTCGATGCTTTTAGAGCGCCAGTACTTACTATTTACCTTTTCGTTTTCTTCCACCGTACTAAATACTTTTTATACCTATTTTATTTGATACATAAATCACATACATTCAATATACAATGGAGTAATAATTTTTATACACATTTTATCAAACATTAAATATTAAATAATTTGCTTTTCGTTCGGATTTTTTATTTAAATGAAACTATAAATCTTATAGAGCCTTCCTATTATATTTCTCTATCATTACGGATAAATAAAGTGATTGATTAAAAAGAATAAGATATTTTATATTTGATAAATAATCGTCTTTATAAAAATAATTTACATTCTTACGAATAAATTATAGATAAATAAATCGCTATCATTATAAATAATTCTTTATAAAAGAATTATTATTATTATTATTATTATTATCATTTATCAATTATTATTATTATTATTATTATTATTATTATTATTATTGTTGTTTGTATACAAGATTTAAAATAAATGAATCACCGAGCATTATTGAATTGAACATTAGAAGCGGAAAGAGAGATAATAAATGAATGCAACGACCAAATTGCAATCGCTCAGACATTGTTTGATCATGTAAATGTTTACACCACGTGTGCGTTACGCCACGAGCGGACAAACTAGCACTATAAATTCGTAAAATTCTTCTTAATATATAGCTAATGAATAATTAACATAGTAAGTTATAAGTAGCGCAGCACGATTGATTATACGAAATGCGAAATATAAATAAATAAATACTAAAATTACTGAAATTCAACAAATAAGAAATTTATTTTTATTAAATTTTTAGCAATGATGTAACAGCAATGACCTATTGACAATAAACAAATAAAGCAGCTATGCGCTAAACACTGATGCCAATTGCGCTTTGTCTAAAAAAAATATATATCTTCAAAAGTCGCGGGAACACTCAGGTTTTTCAGGCCATTTCAGGTTACCGGCTGGTCGTCAGTGCTACCACCCGTAGGACAGTGAAAGCACCTTTCGATTCAACAGGGACGAAAGTCGGCTCCGCTTCCAGTCTTAAATAAATTCAATGTGATGTTGTAACTGCGTTTAAGACAATAAAACAACGATCGGCTCGTGCTGATGCTGTTGTTTATCGGGGCTTCGATGCACGTGCGATTTCATGTTAGAACATGAACAGCATTTTAAAAGTTTGCGTTGGTCAGCAGGCCGTGAGAAACTTTCTTAAGCCAACGTACGTAATGCAATATTGTCCCGTCTTATTTTCTTTTCTAAGCTCTCGTTATTTATAGATTAGAGACCTTTACGATAACGAGCCGAGGGAAAAAGCTATTGAATCCACCGCCGAGGAAAAGGTTATCTCCGTGGCTAATTAAGCAGAATCGAGTGGTACGCACAATCAAAACATTATACTTAACAGCTTCGATATATTAAATTACATCGTCGAATTATGCATTTTTAGCAACACAGAGATGACTTAACGCCGGAGAATAAAGAATTTATACAGCAGGTTATAAAAGACAAGTATGCGCCATCGAATAATGACATTGAGAGGTTTTCTCCCTTAAAGCTAGACACGATCGAACCAATAACCGAATGGCAACCACATTATAGACGAGTTGGTGTTATTGCTAAGAAAATAGGTATAGTGCCACTGTGGTTAAAAAATGGAAAAAAAATTATAACCACCATGCTTCAAGTAAGTTTTGTGGCAAAGTTATTTTCATTAAATTCAACAAACGACACAAGTCTTATTATATGCTCGAGTTTAGAAAGATATGTGCCAAGGTATCTTAATTAGTGTACGATTTAATACCTAATACATATTGAATATGATAGAATAGTATCGATAGAATAAAGTATTTACTTCTCTTTTGTACGATCCTAAAATATAACGTACAGAAATTTGTAGCTCACCGTTTCGATAGTATAACAAATTAAAGCATAAGCCGGTTACAGATATCTATTAACGATAACGCTTTACTGTACGAGTGATGATTTTTTTAGGTGTCCGATAATCACGTGATTAAATATATACCACCAGAGGAATATAAGCCCATGATATCAAAACGAAAGACCGTGTGGCCAAGAACTATGGGCTGCCTTATCGTGGGAGCTGAAAGTTGCGACCCTCAATTGGTACTTATTTTGAATTGTGTTATTACTATTAATTTTACTCCAAACAGATTGTATATCATAATTACTATCATAATGTTATTAACATTATCTATGTACTTAGTTTACTAAAGAGTACTGTGGGCTATTCAATGATTCGGGAGTAATGCCAAAACGTTTATTGGCCAGATTTTCCATATCCCCCGAAGCTGCACTGCAACCTGGCACTCCGTTAAGCGCATCTCACTTTCAAATTGGCGATTTCATCGATATTAGAGGAAAAACGTAAGTATTTTCTAAGTAAGGAAAAACAGGAATTTAATTACAATAATTATAGTACAAGCGTATTACATTTACTTTGAACGAGATTAAATTTTAACCTAAGTTGGGATATTAGAATATAAAGATAAATCAAATATTATTGTCATTATATTTAGTAATTAGATGTATAAATTCTAGCGTCATCTTTAAAATTTCAAATTAATATAATAATGACCTATTGACATTAAAATTTACTTTACTTTATTGACTTTTTGTAGAATCGATAGAGGATTTCAAGGTGTAATGAAGAGATGGGGATTTCATGGTATGCCCGCTAGCCATGGAGTTACAAAAACACATAGGAGACCAGGAAATATTGGCTCTGGAAGCCATAAAGCCCGTGTATTACCAGGAACAAAAATGCCCGGTCATATGGGAAATCGGTATCGCATTATAAGAGGCCAAAGAGTAAGTTTCACTATGACGATATATTTCCTTTCATCTTTATCAATATTTGATTAAAAGTATTTATTAGTGATTCTACAATTTCAGATAATTCGAATGAATACAAAATACAATATTATTTGGATTCACGGAGATGCCGTAGCTGGCGCAACAAACAGTTTTGTTCAAATTTATGACACCGTTTTACCGTTTAAAACTTCCAAAGCATTAAACGTAACTCCACGTTTCCCAACTTATTTTCCAAATCTTCAGAAAGAAGCTTTACCAGAAGAATTATTTGCAGATGACTTACATAACTTTGCCGATCCAACAATTATATACACAGATGAATAAATATTTTATATTAGATAATTATTAATTATTAATTAAAAGTTTTATAAAATATTTTCATTCTTTTTATTATTGCTAAAATGAGGATTAAAAAATTACCACAGTGTATAAATTTAATTCGTCAATGTATTTAAAGAAAAAATATACATTGTTAATTTCAGATAGAATAAGAAACTTGATCGTTACAGCCACGGTATCTAATATACGCTACATTTGTATTGTTGCTCACTTTCTTACAGAACGCTCGTAGTTATTAATTACGCTAATAATTAATAATAATTATTAGATTTGCTCTCTTAGAAATTGAGACTGTTATCGATTTATCATGCCTAAAATATACACAAAGTAATTATAAATGTAACATAAGAACCAAGACTCGGCGGACCGTACAAGTGTAATTATTAATGCTTCATCAAAAGGCCAATAGTTGCTGTTTTATTTATTTATTTATTTATTTATTTATTTATTTTCTCTCTCTCTCTCTCTCTCTCTCTCTCTCTCTCTCTCATAATCAAAGTTTAATAATCACGCGTGTTCTGTTCAAACAACAATGATCAACTTTCTCATTAAAAAGCTTGAAAAGAAATAATTTACGCAATGTCCTATCAACTGATCAGCATCTTAATTAGACTTGTTTCACGATGTAAACATTATAAATGTTAAATCAAATATCATAAAAAGAATGAAGAACAAAAGAACTCAGTCGATTTGATTCGTCGTTGACTTATTCTTCAGGTCTTCTCGTTCGCACAGATCGTCGAAAGTCAAACGGCCCCTTATTTTGTTATCTCAATAATGTTAGCCCGTCATAATCAGGGCCGGTTTCTTTTGGGTCGTCTGCATCTGTCTTTGGGCCCATTTATTAAAATTTCTTGGTTCAGTTCCAACGCGCATCATATACCATTTTATTTTAACTACGCATCGACCGGAGCAATAAAGAGATGTGGAAAAAGGATAGGAGGAAGGAAAGCAGAACGGCTTTAGACTGGAGTTTTATCAGGGGACGGCACAATTGGGTAGGGAACTTTCAAGGATCACTCAAAATTTAAATCCTTCAATTGGAGCTGTTATCGGAGGATCAAAGTCATAGCCTTCTTCTGTAATTGGTGGTCCTAGATTCGTATCGTCAGCCTAAAAATATTATTTACTTAGTAGTTGGCTTAATGGAGAGCAGAGCTTTTACTAGAAAACTCCGTTGGCATATTTTAAATAATAAATTGAGTATAGATTCAGAGATTAATTCCGATGCTAAGAGCACGCGTTTCAAAATACAAAAATCGTAACGAATTGATAGACGAACGAGTACTTGGAAAATTTTTTTTAGCTTAACTCATCGAAGGTGGAAGAAATAAAACAAAAAACAAAAAAAAATCTATGTAAAACTGGTTATTTCAATATGTTACTGTGTTAAACAAAAGAAAAAGAAAAAAATAGCTAGCAATTATTACCGTACAGCTAAAATTAAGTATTATTAAAATTATCGTACTTTATCTATTAAATGATTTTCATGTTCTTAGGGGCTCTTGTTTTCTAACGATTAATAACAAATTTTCGTTTTTTCTTATCGAACCGATTCGACTTTAATTTACGCAAATAGATTTATCTTGTAAAACCTATGATAATGATAATATTCAGAAATATGTGCTCATAATAAACAAATCGACAAAACGTGCGATACGTGTATTAGAAAAGAAATGACACTTTGTGAGATAAATACTTACATCGTCTGAAAAGTATTGCTCGATGATATCATATGCTAATTTATAAATATCTACGTTCTCATGAGCCTGCAATGCCTCGATTTTATCCAAACCAAAGCATTCTTCGATCATATTTGCTACAACTTCAACTTGCGTTCCAGCTAATTTGAGCATATTATGAATTCCATCGAGTACAACTTGGACGACTTGATTATCTTTACAAGAAAGTAAGTCACAGAATGGACCAACGACACCTTCCTTAACAAGCTGAGCAACCTGTTCCATATTGCCACTAATAGTTAAATTACTAATCGCCCAAGCTGCTTCTTTTTGCGTTTGGAATTCTCCCTAAAAGCAGTGGATATCGAGTTAGTTATATTAGAAAAATATTTAACCGCTGGCAAATTTCCTCCGATGCATTTACCTTCGATAAATTACGAATAATAAGAGGTAATAAGCCTGCATCGATAACAGCTTGAACTTGTTGCTGATTACCAGCTGTTATATTCGAAAGGAACCATACTGCTTCTTTGCAAATTTTTTCCTTTGAATGTTTCAAGAGGTGCGGAAGATGAGATAATGCGTTGCAATTCAAAACTACTTGTGTCTGTTCGTCTGTGCCAGTGACGATATTGCCAACTGCTCTAAGAGCAGCGGTTTGAACTTTGACTTCTTTGTGTGCAAGGAGTGGAACTAAATATGGTACAACGCCGCTGTCTATAACAATTTGAATTTGGTCATTGCCACCGTCCGTTAGATAACTCAATGCCCATACTGTGTCAACGAGAATCTACAAGGAGAAATTAGATAATCATCGTTAATATTATTTTAAAGGAAGTCACTGCGTAAGAGTGAAGCGTTGACCATAAATATTAAATATCGAATATTTGTTATTGGGAAATTCTGAAATTAAGATGGGAAACTAACATTCATGTCCATGTGATGTATAAGAACTTTCAATGCTGGTAAAATTTCATGTATTGTCTCAAGCGGTGGAGGTGGATCTTTATTTCTACACAAGTTAACGATGACCCACGTGACATTACGCAAAAACGTAAGAGGTATGTCTGGCTTAATAAACGTTAATAACGGTGGTACAACTCCAAGTTGTATTACATAGTCTCTTAATCTTGGACCGTCTCCAATAATGTTACCTGCACACAAAAGCGACGAATTTTCTTTTTGATCCCGAATGCAAAGTCTAATTAAATAATATTACAAATGCCAATGATTTTTTGCGTACTTACCCAATGCCCAAACTGCCTGCTCGCAAACATTCTGTTGACTCGAAAGCAATAATTGTAAAAATAGTGGAACGGCACCCGCTTGAACAACTGCATTTGTTTGAGCAGATGTTCCGCTTGCAATATTCGTTAATGCCCATGCGGCCTCAAACTGAAGAGATGGACTGATAGAAAAACACGAGTTACAATTTGACAAATGTTTTTTTCTTTTAAACAATGCTCGCTTACTTCGAGTTGCGACAACTTACTTATTGTTCTGTTCCAGACATTTCACCAAAATTGGTAGAATACCACTTTCTATGAGGGGATCGATGGGTGGATTACGATCGGACGACAGTAATTTTCTCGCAGACTGCACAGCTTGTATTTGAACAAGCGGTTCTAAACTGCCAGCTTTCCTTACCAATTCTTCCAAATTGGTTCTCGCTAATTGTTTGTCGATGTCATCCTCGTCTAATAATAGAAAATGATAGGCAAATAAGTAGAGTAAACAGATATAGAGGAGTATATATTATAGGCAAAGTATGTTCCTAAAATACCAGTGGAATCTGTTACAGGAACATTTCGTTTCTTTTGAAGAGTTTCTTCTCGTTTATTTTTTCTCAATTCCACCGTAACCTCGTTTCTCCTTCTTCGCATTTCCTATAAAATTATAAATATTACGATATATTAGATCTGCAATTACTTTATTACTTTAAATGTGTGAATAAATTGTGACAATGTATTGCAATAGAAGCCAGATAATTTAGTAAGATAAATAAAGTATTAAAATACAAATAAAAAGGCAAGACAATGATTGTTTTTTTTTTACATATTTTAATATTTACAATGGCATATTATCAAAAAGTTACTTAACTACATCTTTATCGATCAATGTATCTTTAGTGATTGTTGAAAATTATTGACTTATTCTTAATATTAACCATGGATTCGTGCAGTAAAATTTAATGCGTTATCACTGCTAATGGTGAGACACAACATTACAACATTACAATTATTAAATGCAAAAGCGATATATTATTTATTAACGATAAACCATTTTCTAAGTATTGTATAATTAATGATTAATATTAAAAATAAGTCTAGTGAATAGTTCGATATAAATTTTTTAAGTTGAGTGAAATGTAATATATGAAGTGTAAAATATAAATAGAATATATAATATATTAAAAGTCTTACACATGGTTGAAGTTTCATGAATAATGGTACATTTGAATCAAGCTAACCTTTCATAAGACTGTACATCTTTAACCCCTTGGGTGTGGGAGCAAAATTAGCTACGTGGGCTGAAAATGATTAGAAGATTCTGTTCAATCGATTTTAATCGCACTTATGCATTTCCACATTTCAAGCTCACTTGCTCAGTGACGATACACGCCATCCACACGCAAGGAGTTAATACATTCAACCATAATTCATAATACTTTCAACTCCAATATCATAAGCACTCAACTCTGTTTCAACTTTCAAATATCTCATAAATCCAACTTCGCTTCTTACATCTCACAATTGCATAATTATTCAAGTCAGGTACATTCAAGTAATAATCCTTGCATTACATACGAATCGCACCATTAGTCTTCAAACTTAAGATCAAAGTAAGCTTACAATGATTCATACAAGAATTCTTCTTTTCTCTATGACACATACTTTCATCCTAAAAATACAGTCAAAACTATCAGGCTTTCCAACAATCTCAAGCCATTCAAAGCAAGAAGTGTATCAACAAAAAGATATTCATATTCATAAATCACATAAAAAATTTCTCCCAGACTCCAGGCGTTCAATCAAAAATCCATAGCTGCACATTCTAATAAAAAAAAGTGTGGAAAACAAACAAGGTTTTGGAATATAAAGTAAAAATATGAAAGGACCGAGGAAGTGGATGAAAAGAAAAATAATGTAGCTAAAGATGCATGGTGGTATAGCGAGCATCCGTGCTACAATATTCTTCTCCTCTCGCGCTCTTCCTCTCCTTTTCCAGCGCCTTCGTTCTATCTCTCTCTCTCTCTCTCTCTCTCTCTCTCTCTCTTTCTCTTTCTCTCTCGCTATTTCCACCTGCTTACTTACTCATTCTTTCTTCCTCTCTCCCACTCACCCTCGTTCCGTTCCATCTGTTACTCATGTTCTCTCTCGTTCCCGTTCTAGTTCTCTTCTCTCTCTTCACGTTCTCTCACTAACTCACGCTCGCTCGCTCGCTCGCTCGCTCGCTCTCTAATTCTCATTCTCATTCTCACTCTCGCTCATCACTCGCTCACTCCCTCACTCACTCCCTCATGCACTCACGACCTACACACTCGCTCCCTCTCTCGCTCGCACACGCACGCGCACGCATACCCACGCAATCTCTCGGTTTTTATCTCTCTCTCTCTCTCTGTCTCTCTGTCTCTCTCTCTCTTGCTCTTGCTCTCTCTCTCTCTCTCTCTCTTGCTCTCTCGCTCTCTTGCTCTCTTGCTCTCTTGCTCTCTTGCTCTCACTCAATCTCGTCATAACATCTTTCTCACTTTGCACGCCTTGGAAACCGTCGTCGATGAGCGAGCCGAGCGACATTATATATAACGCAAACGCCCGTCGCGCCCCTTCGCCAACGGCCGACAAGCGCTGCAAGGGAAGCAAATGGCAATAATATATCATACTTACATCCTGGTCCTTCCCTTTGTTCTTAAAGACCATCATCCGATTCTTATTTATCATCTCGGGTGCCATTTTCGCCGTGGATTCCAGCTTAAAGCCGTTTGATTAAAATTGCAGTGATGCAATTTTTTCCCGGATAGAGTTGAAAAGAAGAGGCGTGTGCCGCCGAGCGCTGATTCAGATTCGGAATTCGGAATTCTTACGAGGATATTATGGCACACGGATGGACGGGCCACACGATGGCAACCCGATCGCTCTTTAATCGATGAAGGAAGCGACGGTTAAACGAAATCCCACTACGATGATTCCTCCCAAGCGCCCTGTATCCCCGTATTCGTAGCTTCTGCTATTCCAAACGTTCTATCCTTTATTTCAAATTGTCCTTTACCTCGCCAGCTGCATTCCGACGTGTGCCAGCATCAGCGCACGCGCGATCCAAAAGTTCGTGATCAGTCTCGCGCTTGTTTCTCGTATTAACTGCAACCCCGGGCCTTGCTCAATATGCACTATCATGCATAAAAATGCGCCTAGATATGCGTTTCTCTTTCACTCTCCGTCGTCCGCGACTCTCGCAACACGTCTCTCCCTCTCCACGGCCGTTCCTCCTCGCTCAACGTCGCTATACTCCCGTCCCACCGCGCCTCCCGCGCCGAGCCGCCGCGCAACGAACGAAAGCCGCCGCTGCCGCCGCTGCTGCTGCCTGTCTTCGTCGTCTTCGTCGTCTTCGTCGTCGTTGTCGTCGTTGTCGTCGTTGTCGTCGTTGTCGTCGTTGTCGTTGTCGTCTACGTCGTTGTCGTCGTTATCGTCGTTGTCGTCCTCGTCCTTCCTGTCGTTCCCCCCCGCCCCGCACTCTCGCCCAACCAAAATCAACCACCACCACGACCCGCCCGACAATCCTATCTACGGATTAGGTCGAGCCGTACGTGGAACGCGTGTCGAAATAAAAAATGGACACCCTGCCGCGACCCGCTAGCCCTTTTTCCTCGGCCTCGACGACTTTTTGCCGACGTCAAGCGGAACAGTAGCACACGCGGCGCGCACTCCAGCCAGCAACTCTGCCTCTCGTCCCGCTGCCGCAATTGCGCTCACTCGCTCGCTCGCCCGCGCGCAATTCTATCTCCTCCCTCTCCCTGGCCGACGTCGCGCTCGCTCCCCTTCCGTCCCTGCCCTGCCCGTCCCTCGCCACTACAACCTCTCGCACGCTCGTTCACCGACAATCGCGCGATGGCGGATAAAAACTACGCGACACGCGGCGCCGTGTAACGCAGTCGCTCGGACGAGACTCGTAGCCTTCCGGTTTCCCTCTGCCTCGCGGGTCCGATCGCCGTGTATCGCGCGACTCGTCGTAGCCGTCGCCCTTATCAATCTCTCGGTTGACGGTACGCGCCTTAAACGATGGCCTCTCAACGCCAGTCGTATTCGCGCGCGCGCGTACAACCGTCACACATGTAGGCGCGCGCGAACGCACGAGATCGCGCGCGCACGCCTATACCAAGAGGTGGGTGTACGTAGCGCCAAGCGGCTGCCGCCACCGCCTCCGCCACCGCTAAGGCCGCCGTTACCGCCACCGCCACCGCCACCGCCACCGCCTCTCACTCTGTCCCTATCTCTATCTCTCTCTCTCTCTCTCTCTGTCTCTCTCTCTCTCTCTCTCGTCCCGCAACCATGCTTTCGTGCTACGGGGACACGCGCAGGCCAGGTGGTATTCGTCGTCGGGCCCTGAGACCTATCCGGCCTGGCTACGTTCAAGGCCGAGCCATCGTTGGTAGGCCGTTACGACGACGGAAGAGGCCATATCCCGCCGACGACGTCCGAGTTTCGCGCGCTCCCGCCCGACTTCCCGCCTTCCCTTAGGGATGATAAAGTAGAGGAGAGGTCGAGTGGGTGAGCATGGCGGGGAACCCGAGGTCAGTAAAGTCGTCGACTGCCGCTTCCGTCGCGGCTGGGACTGCATGGTATAGGGAGATATATCGGGGCCCGGCCGGTCGCGCTGGGTCTCTCCTTCTCTCATTTTTCAACTCGAGGACAACGATCGAGGCCTATTGGCGCAATATTATTATGCATCGCGCATTTTACCTTTGTACGATCGATCGATCACTTAACGAAGGACGAGGAAAACTGCGCCTGGCCGCGATAACAACGCGGCATTCC